TCTCTCTGCTTCCCTGGGCAAAATGTCCGGTAATGGTGGTGGGTCATCTGACCTCTTGATCAAGGAAGCCAAGGAGACCCCACCAGATGGACTTGAACCAGTATCCAGTCTATAAAGAGGAGGGTCAACACGGAGGAATCATTTCCTCCATGCTTCCAAGAGAAGCCAACAATGGTCGAGCAGGACCTTTGACTGATCTTCACATAGATGGAACTGGTAAAAGAAAGGAGCCAGGGGCTCCTCCCAACCCCATGGGACCCCTGAGGAACAGATCCTCTAACGACCTCAAGAGTAAAAACAAATCAGTTTATCTGGTCCAATTGTATGTCCTTAAACACCCAAAAGGGAAGTATAACCAAAGAGTAAAGGGGCCAATATAATTTCATAAGAGCACACATATATATAACTAAAAGTTACTTGACAAACAGCAAAGCCAGACAGGCAACACCTTCAGTCGAGTTGTTGGCCAGGATAGATAAAGGCTCTTCCAGACAGTAACCCAACATACTACTGGAAAAATGAACAGCAGACCCCAATTCTATCCAAAGGAATACTGACAATGGATTGCCATAGATGAGGAACAGCTGACCCTCCTGGAACAGGGACCTCTGGCTGACTAGATTTACCAGAAGGGCAGACAGGGGGGAATGGATGAGGGTGCTGATAACACAGTGGACAGTGACAGGGATGGCAGAGTACGGAGCCTCTAGTGGGAGAGGAAGGCTGTCTATCTGATGAGTTTGTATTCATGCTCAGATGCCGAGGAGCTCAGAAGGTGGGCGACTGTGACCAGTGATAGTCATGTATATAGAGATTAGAAATGCATGTGAAAACGTCTCAATGTCAATTGCTTTGGAAGGAATTCTTCTGTATGAAAAAAAAAAAAAAAAGAAGTATCTTCTTGAAGTCCCTCAAATTAAGGTAAAGAATAAGAACAAATCATTCTGGAAGAACGCAAAGGAAAATAGCTTTAGATACTTAAGTGACAATAGAATTTATTCTCATAATTGTTTTAATAGCTTTTGTATAATCCTCATCGCTATTATGAGATATAAAATGTATTTATCAAATCTGTAATCGTTATGCCAAAAAATCTGAATTACTGTAATATTTTGCATATTGTTAAAACTGTAACTTTAATTGTAAAAAAAAAAAATTGACCATGCAAAATTTGAAAAAAAAAAAATTCATTCAATTTTATGTCTTATAGGGCTTATACTGAGTTCAATTTTATATAACTGTATTAATTCAACTATGAACCTAGAAACTTACAGCCACTTGTGAAAGAGATGTACTCTTGCTCTGGAGTGTGTTACTGAATATGTTAAAGCTGTAATGAAATGCTTCTTCTAATCATGTAGTTATTAAAAATTATAAAAAAAAAAAAAATCCAGGCGTGATGGCCACACCTTTTATCCCAGCACTCCAGAGACAAAGGTGGGTGGATCTCTGTGAGATCAAGGCCGGCCTGATCTGTATAGTGAGTTCCAAGTCAGACGGGGCTACAGGGAGACTCTGTCTCAAAAAACAACCAAGCAAACAAACAAAAAGCAAACTTTCCTTATGAGACCCCAGCTAAAGCACCTGCTGTCGTAACAGAACGGGAACGCATGCAAGCACCTTGCCCAAGCACCGTCATTTTTGCCCAGATTGCTACAAAACGCCAAGCAGAGGAATCCCTGTATTTTTTATTTATTTATTTATTTTTTTTTTTTGCCTTTGTCCTTTAAGCGTCTACTTCCCACAAAGCAGTCAGAATGGCCCCTGTGCCGCCATCACTCTGCTCGGTGACCCCCAAAGATTCCTTATCTCATTTGGCTGTTCTTATAAACAATCCACAGTGGCCTGTGGGTCAGCACAGGCCCAGACTGCCTTCCAGCTTCCCTGCCTCTCTCTGCTCACACCCCCCACCCTTCCACATTGAGTCCCTCTCACTGGCTATGCTGACCCACCAAGCAACTCCTGACTCTGGGCTTTGCCTCTTGCCACAGCATTCTTTCCCCCACGGCACACTGTTCCTTCTCTCCCATCAAATGCCCCTTTCTCAATAAGGTGCCCCCCCCATTAGAATAACTTTCCCACCCTCCGTTTGGCATTTTCCAAACCATATTTCCCCATCTGCACACCTTCACTTCTGTGTTTGCCAACATGACTCGATGCAGGCGAGCTTTTCTGTTTGTTCACTGCCATGTTCAAACAATGTCTACGACCAGAAAACACTCAAGAAACTTCTTACTGAATCAACTAAAATCAGAAGCAGAGTCTAAGAGACCTGCATAAATCATAAGAGCTCTATGAGCTCTAGGAAGCTACCCCTAAGTCACAAATACTAAGTGTCTGTTATGGGGAAAACCACTGCTAAGTGTAATGATTTACTCAGATCAAAGTGACTTTTTTAATGTATTTTTGAAAGGGGGGGTTGGGAGGTACTACAGCACTCATGTGGAGGTCAGAGAACAACTTGCAGGAGTCGGTTTTCTCCTTCCCCTATGTTATCTACTTACAAACTCACAACCTCCTCCTCCACTGAGATGCCATGAAAAGGACAGGACAGGGACAACACACAGCTATGGACCAGTTCACGCCACTGCTCAATCCAAGTCTGAGAAGTACCAGATTCTCCTCTCCTGTCTCAGTATGCTCCCAACAGGACCCCAGAAGCCCTGCTAGGCTCCGACATTAAACTCTCACTGCTCTGTTCCTGGCCCTCTACAAGCCATTCCCCCAACCCCCAAACACCCCCATGACCTTTGCACTTTTGATTTTTGAGATCAGGTCTCAGGTAGGCTGGGCTGTCACTGAACTCATGATCCTCTTACCTCCACCTCCCAAATTCTGGGATTATAGGATTGTGCCACCATATCTAGCTAACAAGTGTCCTTTCTGAAATGGAAAACAGACCCTATCACTACTCTATATAAATCATGGCTCCCCAAGATACTTAAGTAAAGCCTGGAACCTTTATCCTGCAGAACAGTCTCCCATGGTCCCCAAGACCACCACTGCCCTCACCTGCTATACCCCATCCAAACAGTCTCCTCTCTCACCCATCAAACATTCCATGTTTGTTGTCATACTGGTCCCTGTGCTCGGACCTCACATTCAAATGGCAGCTTTTTGGCCATCCAGAACTCTTCCCAAATGTCACCATCTCAGAAAGGGTTCCTTGAGCACAGAGCCTAACACAGTTCCCTTGGCTGTTAACTATTAGATGGCCCTGTGTGAAGGACCAGAGTGGGGAGGGGGGGGTCCCTACTAATAACCAATATTTTATTACATTTTGTTTTGTCTGCTTGATGCCACAAGAATTTAAATTTCAAAAGGGCCAGTTCTTGTCCTGCCTTGTTGACATGAAAGACAGCTTAGTACACAGCACATACTCGATAAATCTGCTGGATAGTAAATGAATTGAGAATTCCCATTTGCATTAATTCACTCAGTCTCATAAAGACATCTTAAAGTCTTAAACAGTAGACACTCTGAAAGAAGCCATCAGAGGAGACAGTCCTTCCAAGTCAGGTGACCCAGGACAGTCTTCTGTCATGCTTCCACTCAAAGTCACACGTGGTCAATAAGAGAGACTTGGTCGAGATCATGTAAAAGAATGGGAGACTCTCGTCGCCCATGACTCTAGAGCACTGTGATGTGACTGACCCAGCACTAAAGCAGTATCATTAAATCTCAGCTCTGCGTGGCTGAGGGAAGAAGACAGTAGAAGAAAAACAAGTAGGATTTGGAGAAAGAGGAGGAGGAAGGCAGGAGAGCTAGAGCAAAGCTCCGCAGATCATCTCCAACATGAATAACCCACACCGGGTAATAGAATATTGACCATAATTACATTCATCCTACTGACCTTGTTCTAAATTATTATGGATTATTACTACGCAAGTTATTTTGTTCCACACCAGAGGTGGCTGTATCTCGCTATCAGATGACATGACCTCTAATTCAATAATGTCCGTAATGCACTGGTATCCTCAGATAAAAGCTGTCTATAATGTCTGAACAAAGGTGAATTAGTTATCCAATTCACACACGCAATTAACTCTCTTAATACCTAGGAGACCATGGAGGCCCTCTGAATTCCCTACTAAACACTGCATATGGAGGTCTTTCCTCCATCTGCAGTTACCTTGTGCTATACTTCATCATAAACAGTATTAGTACTTTATTGCCCCCATCAAAAATCTTGCATTCATTATCATAAGAGACCTCATTCCAGAAGGCAATGACTCCTTTTCCGGAGAGAATGTATTAAATTCAGATGTTATGCCTATTAGTGAACCATACTATTCCTTTATTCTCAATAATGTAAAAGGAAGAATGCCTTCATGAACTATAGGAAATAATTCTCATTTTCTTCCCTATTTTAAGAACACCTGTTAAGATGCCACCGAAAGGCAGTATGTATTAAAAGTGAATTTATATTTACATGCTGTAGTCATCTAAATAAAAGAATATTTATCTAAATTTAAGTGTCAATGGGCAAAACCAAATCAAAACACTGTATCTGTTGCCACCTGTTCCCTCTGCACAGAGCTGGAATTTCAGTCTGAAGTCAGAGCCTGGGCCTCTGCTTTGTAGTGGTGTGCGCCACCAATGGCTGGGCTCCCCAAGCTCAGATCAGTAAAGCAAGGTAGGGTCAGATGTCAGACAAACACCCTTGCTTTCTCGTAAAGGAGGCGATTAATTAATTCTTTGGGGGATGCTTTAACTCCGGTCGACTAACATAAATGTGTCTTTTTAGTCGAGACAAGGGAACAAAATGAGATCCCTAAAATAAACCCTAGCTCCCGGCATGCATTTGCATTAGGGTTCCCACCTGTCAGGAAGCTGTGCAGGAAAGTGCATTCCAAGGGCTGCCCCAGGCAGGTGAGATCCGCTCTCCAGCGGGGTTTTCGTTTTCCCTCAAAACTCACAAGGGTGTGGAGCAGAGGCCTAAGGCTTATGAAAACAGCACCGCAGACACCTCACCCGCTCATCGTCTCCACAGCACCCACCTTCTGCATGCTGCAGCACGAGGAACACTGACTCCTCCGAGACGATGTACTTGTGCAGGCCCACCATGTTGGGCACGCAGCGGGGGATGATGGTCTTTCTGTCCCTGCTGTACTCGCTGCTTTTCCTTAGACCCTGACAGAGAACAGAAAGGTCAGTTGTACCCTCAGTTGCCTTTGGAGCCTGTTGTGCTCTGTGTTTATCAACCACACTAATCTATCCGAGTTACTCTGGGCGTCAGAGAAGGCACTCATCTGCTGCTCTGTGCCCCTCGGTCCCCGGAGGCTCCGCTGATGGCATCTGGCGCGAATCCAGAGAACAGAAGATGCCACAAAGCTGCCATTAAAATCAATTACGTGGGTCAGTGTTTTTATTAGAGATGCTCTCAAACTAAGTCATCAGGATGACACACAGTCATTTCTCTGCGACCTTTTAAGTTTGATTTTACTTACGTACCTCTTTAAAGCAGGAGGCAGTATGAGTTCAATTCAAATTCTCAAGACACCAAACATGTTTCTAGAATAAGGCAGCAGCTTTAAAATTCTGTGCCAAAATGGTAAAGATTATGACAGTGTTCTCCAAAAGAAGGGGATTTGTGCGCTTTCTTTTGTCATACCCTGGTTCTAAGAACTGGTGGCTTGGTGTGTTCATAAAGAAAAGCTAATTTCCACACATCAATGTGACCTCCGGACATGCCTGCATGGTGAGAGAAGACAGCCCCAAAGAAAAGGGCAGACTCTGTGGAGACACTTAAACCAGGGAACTGATTCTGCGTACAGAGTATCATTACCCATTCCAAAAACAATTTCAAAAATATATAATTATTCATTCGATTTTAAATTAAATTATATATTGAATTTAGACCAAAGACTAGGCCAGTGATGCCGTTAGCATTTTCCCAAATACCTGTGGGAAATTTCAACTCTATAATCAGAATCAAAAGTGACACGATCTTCACTAATTGTAAGAGGGGAAAAAAGGTACGTGCAATTCACTTCTCAATTCTTCGGTGGATTCAGATTCTTTTCCTCTACATCCTTTAACATCAAACTTTTTAAATGGACGCTAGAGCGTGTTTATCAGTTGTGATAAAGACAGAAACAAAAAGCTGACTATAAACATAAAAATACCCAATACCTGTGCAAAAATATTACTCTTTTACAAAGCATACTTTGAAAAGAGATTTTTAAATTCACTAAACATATGAATTCTACTTACTTTTAAAATGAATGTCTGTTCTGTTCGTGTGTCCATTACAAGCAAAACCTATGTAAAAGGTACAAGCAATAATTTAATCAAAATACAATAAAACATTAAGACTTAACTTTGGGACTGGGGAAGGCAGAGGGGTGCCTCATCCCAAAATTTTAATTTTTGAATAGAGTTTTTTAAAGTCTCAAATCATAGAACCAATTGTAATTGATATTACAATTTCCTTTTCTAAAAATACTATAGAAACATTATGTTTCTAGATTCATTTTTAAAATGCAATTCTTAGAAGTATAGGAAATAGCCAGGCAGGCATGGTGATACACATGGGTGGTCATACAGTCCCAAGTCTGAGGAAGGAGGAGTTCAAGGCCAGCCTGGACTGTAAGCAAATTCCAGGCCGGCCTTAAAAACACAGGAAGACCCATCTCAAAAGAAAGGAGGGGGTGTACCTCTAAAAAACTTTCTCTCATGGAACATATACAGTAAAGAGGAAAAAACTGCAACAGTCTCAACTTTCTTCCTAAAATCTCTCACTCAGCAGCCCACTAGAACATGATCGCAACAGCAGGCTAGCACCACCTCGGCATCTGTGCGTCTCCTCTCTGGACCGGCCCAAACGCCTCTTTCCACCACCATCAAATCCTGATGGCTCTATCCTCAGCCTGTACCCACAACCGGCACGCCCTCACCTCCCGCCCCACAAAATGCCCAGACCCAAACAGAAACCAGCTCGCCCTCACCCAGCCAACACCAAAGGCGTCTGCGTCCCTCGGCAATGCTCTGTGGCCAAGTCTTTCCTGTTAAAGGATGAGTTAGGTGTGCCACTCTCACCTCACTGAGAGAAAAGGCCCAACTCATAAAGACCTCGAGACTCTCACCTCATGGTCCCCTGAAGGCCACGTGCTAGGAGGACCCGGGGAGAGTGCCTGCCGTACTCGTTTTTATTTTTTCTGCACTAACTACAGCGAAGATCACCAAATTTTTCTCACAAAGGCCAGTGAGTAAGTACTTCAGGCTCTGCAGGCCCATGAGCGTCTGCTGCTGCTGTTCAAACCTGCCCTTGGCCCGAAAACAAGCACAGCCTCCAACTAGCCACACAGGAGAATTTATACCACAGAAATGGGCAAACATGGCAACTAACCGGGGCCTCTTTCCCTGGAGAGCCAGCTGTCAATCAGCTACCAGCACCCTAGAGAAGCAGGGACTGAGGCGGGAAGGGTGAGACACGCACGTCCGCTGGGAAGCATAAAAGGACGGTGAGGAGAGGAGGTGGGGGCCAGGTGGGAGGCTGTGGAGAGCAGCAAATCCCATCTTCGACTTGGGCAGTAAAGCAAGTGAGGGCTTCGCTGTTGACCTCAGCGTCTTCTGAGTGTCTAACCTCCACACAGGTGCCCTGGATGCTGGTCGTGTTCCTCCTACAGTGTCTCAAACCCAAGCTCCCTGAACCAGTCTCCAACCCCCAACCTTCAGAGCCAGTGAGCACATCAAGCCAACTCCAGCTGCCAAGCACATCTCCTAACCTGCCTGCTCTTCCCCACCTTAAGTGCGTATTCGCTGCGTGCTGTGTCTTAGCCATGGATATTCAACGTCAACCCTCTTAACAGCCCAGCATCCTCTGAACATTCCTACTCCATACCGCCCATGTTGCAGCTCTGCACGTGATGCTAGGATGGAAGGTGGTAACAGTCCACCATGTGCAGGGTACCTGAGATGCTCTCACAGACACAGACCCCGGGTCATGACTACTGTCACTATTGTGGCAGCTTCTCTTTGGAATGTCCCTCCACGTGCAGCCCCAACATCCCCCCTCATAACACTGAAGACCCTTGCTTTGTCCTCCCATTCACACAGCACCAACTGCCCTGTGGCATCTCAAACGCTTCAGTTGGGTTTCAGTTGTTCATCTGTCATCTCCCAACCAGACACCAAGCTATTTATGGGCAGATTACAGGTGGGATCATGGTACTCGCTCTAGGATCTGGGAGTAGACGACTTCATGGTAGAAAGGACTTTGTAGATGTGATTCAAATGAAGATCTTACAGGCTGGAGAGAAGGCTCAGTGGTCCTCTGCTTTTACAGAGGACCCAGGCTTGGTTCCCAGCACCCATATGGCAGCTAACAACCATCCCTAACTCCAGTTCCCAGGGATCCAATGCCCTCTTCTGACCTCTCCAGGTATCATACATACTCGGAGGCAATACAGTCATACACATAAAAATAAAAACAACAAATAAAAGATATTTTTAAGTGAAGACCTCAAGGATTACCCTAGTTACCTGGGTGGCTTCCATCAGATCACATGACCCTCTGAGAGCGAGAACTGACTCCCAACAAAAGGCTGCAGAGCACAGGAGCAGGAGCAGCACCACAGGATGGGTGTGGGGGTGGCTGGCTGGCAGAGAAGCAGGTGCCAAAGGAGGCACCTGGGAGCCCAGAGCAGGCCTGAGGGGAGGCCACTTTTAGGAGCAGAGAGCAGCCCTCCTCTGAGAGCCAGCATGTGGGCAGTGGCGGCAGAGACCAGCCCAGTCCGCGTTGGAGTGAGCAGGGAAGCCAGTTCGTCAACAACAGTAGGGAACAAGCACAGCATTGCCACTGAGCCTAGGTTTCAGCCTTGTGAGGACTGCATCATGCCTCTGACTTACACAACTTTAAGATAAATCTGGTGGTTTCAGGCTGCTAAATCGGCAATAATTTGCTGTGACCCAATAGAAAAGAAATGGTTTTTCTCCTATAGCCTAATTCCACAGAGTAAATCCATAAACATAGCGCATTCAAGTCTAAGAATCTGGAGGGTCAACGGCAAGGTGGGAACAGAGCATAGGAAACAAGGCAGGACTGAAGATATTTATCTGAGCATTCTCCAAGACACAACCTGACGCACAAGAGCACGTCGTTTCCTTTGTAACAGGCAGTGCTGGGCTTCAGAGAATTAAATCACAGACAGCTCTCTGCACCCTAAAAAGCATGTATCCTTTCTCAGATTTGCAGATGAGAAAGCAAACATGAAAGGCTAACTGACCCTGCTCACAAGCTAACAAGTGAAAAAGGTGAAATCTGCGTCCATGCAGCCTGGCTCTGCCATCCTTCCTCCGTAACTGCTAAGCTGTCCTACACACACACACAGGACAGCACTCTAATTGCGTCTGAATTCTGAAAGTTGTACATGGATTGCTGTGGGTGGATATGAGCACAGCCAGAACAGGAAGGAAAACAGAGATCCGGATGTGAGAGAAAGCCACGGGCTGAGAGTAGTTGCCATCCACACGACAGGAGCCGCACTGAGACAGGCCCACGTCGAGGACGCGGCAGCGAGGAACTCACGGGAAGCTGCCAATAAATGGCTTAAGAGAGGAGCCAGGCTGTCCTGAGCAAATCAGGACATGGGGAATCGGGGTGCCAGGCACAAGCCTTTCAACAGAGATCATCAAAAGGAAAGAATTCCAGGAAGTGACAGAGGGTCATCAGTTCAAAGGTTTTGACTTTGAGAAAATATCCACAGTATTTGGGAGCACTTATCTAATCCTTAAAAGATTTTAGGGTTACCTCTTCAGAGGGGGGAATGTTGGAGTAGCCCAAAGCCCCCAAAAATATAAATAAATCAAAGAAGGAATACATGAAGTTATCAGAAAAAAGTCATGGGGAGATATGGGAGGAGTTGGAAGGGAGGGAGTGGGCATGGATTTGATCAAAACACCTTATATGCATGTATGAAATTCTCAATAAATTATTTATTTAAAAAAAAAGGTTTGGACTTTGGTGATTTTCAAACAACAGGCACCTGTCCTCTGCATACTTGCCCTCAGAGACATTAATATATTCACCACAAATCCTCAACCTCCACGGCATGTAAATGCACTCACAGAACTTGGGCATTGACTGTTAAACTGACCGGTCTTGAGTGCATGTGGAGAGGGCAGCACGCAGCTGCAGAACCCGCAGACATCTGTGCTCTGGACAGCTCATCTGTTTTGACATCAGCTTGCAACTCTAGGTCACTCTCCAGAAAGTCAATCATGTTTGCTAAGACACAGCTACGTGAGTTAGAAAAAATCCCGCCAGGTAAAGGTGTGGGTGCTGGACAATCATGGGGATAACTGTCCTCCTCCCAGAAGCCCCCTGACTGACACAGCAGAACACACCTGCCCGAATCAGAGGCCATCTCTCCCAGCTAGCCTCACTTAGCCATGAAGCATGAAGCAGATCCCATAAAAGGCCAGAAAAGATGGATCAGTGCACGGAGGAGGAGCGGGAGTGTTGATGCGGACTTCTCCAATCAAGTTTGTTTGCAAGTCGACTGAGTTCACATTGAGGTAATAAACACAAGAGCATATGTGATTTTTTTTTTAAATGTGCCCTTTGACTGTCAATTTCTCCCAAACAGGTGTTGCCTAAATGATTATAAATTGGCCTCTGGATACACCTCTTCAACTGAGCCATACAGGGCTGGTGATAATATAATTAGACCTGAAAACATCAGGCTGCTGAGTGCTTTCCATCTGTTGGGAGATAATGTTTGGTTAACAAAAGTCTATAAAAGAAGCACCTTCCACTTCAGTTCCTAAAGTTATTTATGGTGTCGTTCTTAACACACCAGCACTCCCGCTACCAAGAGCTTTAGCCACTTGGAAATTATTAGCCATACGGCTGTACACAAAGAGAAACAACTGCATTTAACATCTGTAGCTCTCCAAATGTACACGCTCCAACCTCATTTAAAGTCGCTTCTTAATGAACAGTGGTATGGCGCTGCATCAATATAGTTGCACAAAGATCATAAGGAGCCAAACATTTTTTTAATGCCTGTTGTAGGCCAATCCTTAATGAAGCTGTCAGCATAAAGGACAAAATAATAGCTTCTTTAACCCTCAAACCGAATTTGTTCATTTGTAGACTCAAACACATCAATTTAAAACCTGCTCATGGGTTTGCTCACCTTTGTAAAGGCAAAAATCTAATTTGTACTAATTTGATACAATTGTCTTTCCAATAAAAGGCTCCTAAAACCATCTTTTACTTCATGATAAAACAAGCACTATATCTAACACTGTCATGA